AGTCTCAGGAAGAAAGACAGATAGACGTGTTTTCGGATTTGTCATCACTGGGATGATTTTTTCATGTGTAATAGTCCCAGATACTAAGCAATCACATAAAGTTATAATGACCTATAATAAATGACCCACAAGTACTAAATATTTCGAACCAAAAGGTTTCACTCATGATGCATGATCTACACATCTTCGTGAAGAGTTTGTTTTGAAGTAAATTGCTTTCTTTCTTTCTTTGAAAAATTCCCACGTTTTTTGTATGACGATGAAGTAGAAAGCCAAAACCTTTCTTTCCCAACAATTGGCGGTCATTACTACCGAGAATAAAAAGTTGACAGCGTACGATTAGCCATGAATATTACAAGGAAGTAGAGGCAATGGCATATTCTCTCATGAAGACGCCATGAGATCGATGGAAGACTCATTTCAAATTGATTTCGACCGCTGAACAAGAGTCGTTTGCTGTCTTTTCATAGGATTTCATCGTTGAAATCAGAGATCAAATACAACGCATTTATGATTCAATATTAGACAGCGCTATTTCGACACGCCATGGGTCTCATCAGTGGTGCTGGACTGAACCACAAATGCACTGTTGAACTCAACTGTCTTCTGAGTTTTCTTCATCAAGGCCAGCCACAACTTAAATATAACGCCTGTTCCATCATACAAATAAAACACTCTATGGCTTTTGGAAATCCACACACAGGCGATCATTCAGTTGCGGTAACTGAAAATTCCAACAGTTTTTGTTTTTCCAGGAGCCTTATTTGTTTCCAGTAAAATATAATATACATATCAGTCTTCGTACAGTGATGACGATGCTGAAAGAAACTTGAAAAGAAAACTATGATTTTCATAATGAAAGGTTTACAGAACCGCGATACGTGTAAAATAGTTTTCTCAGGCAGGACGAAAAAAATGACTTCTGAATTATAACATATTATACTTTTGAAACATTAAATATTACATAAAGAGCAATCACATGATCGATTATGGGTTCGATTCAAGTATACCTGGTAAGAGAGAATATAATTTTCAATTTAGTAGTGAAAACAGATTAACAGATGAAAACAGGACAACAAAGTATAAAATTCACATCGGTACGGAACTGAATTTAATGTTTTGTAGTGCATTTCATTAGTTCGGACTTCGATTGTCTAATCTAACCAAAAAATTTAAAAAAATAACTTTTAACACGAGATGAAAAAAAATTATCAACAATAAATAAAGATTGAAAGATCCCAAACCAAGTTACTTCACGACGTTTCGATTGTTAGTATCCACAATCGCCTTCGGGTGATAACTTCGGAAGATAATTGCGGATACCAATAATCGAAACGTCGTGAAGTAACTTGTTTTGGAATCTTTTTATTTTTTTCAGGGATTTAAAATCAATGTACTGTACTATGTTGCTGTATCGCTGCTGTTCCAATCAGAATCAACGAACTTAGGGGTGCGCAGCGGTATAGCACAGTGCTTTCAAAAAATTGTTCTACAGTGCCATCTAGTGGCGAGTTACACAAAAATTGATGGACTATAAACCGTTTCTATGAAAAATTACTTATACATGTCAAATTTCATCACCATCGGTTGAGCGATGTAGAAGTTTATCACTTACCAACCAACCAATCAACCAACCAACAAACATCCATTTTTATATATCAGATATATTTTTTAAAAATCTGTTTTTAAAATCTGTTTTTCCGTTAACCAGCTGTCGCACCCCTACGAACGACAACCCTCAGAAGTCAAAACTTGTGCGAGATAAGGATTAACGAGGTCTTACCTTTTAACGTGTGATTGCCTGAATCAATCTTTTAGGTACCAGATATTGCCAGGTCTTTGAGTTGCGAGTTAAGATTCTTAATCTCTAAACAAAGTAGTCTAATGCACTCAGATCAGGTGATCTATCGAGCTATTGCCCTGTTCGTATTCATCGATTTGGAAAGGTTCCCTTTTCAAACTGGTCCAAAAGATAAAATCAGGAATTGATATCTGCTGAAATATTGGACGTTATATATGGAGTATTCTTACATTCTTCAGATCAATAAGAATGTATGGTCGAATGACATCATCTTCAAAAAAACGATATCAGTTCTCGAACTGGGTGTATTCAATGGAATAATCTGTTCATACCGCTCGGTATCGCCAAACCCAGATGTGGTATGTAGCGCCGTTCTATTGAAACCACATCCAATTCATTCCAAAAGAAGTTGCTAATCATCGATGTTCATCATAATGTTCGCCGTTGTCAGTGATGGTCTGGCCAACGTCGTTCTAAAGAAATATGGACCAATGACGCAGCCAGCCTAAAATCTACACCAAACAGTGACTTTTTCGACAATTTTGTTTGTTCACGTCGGTCGGTAGCCAGGCGGTTCAACGCGGGTCCTTTGTTCACTCACTCGAATTGACTGCCGTGTTGGTCTGAACTATCGATTTTCACTTGCTATCATCCAACCCTTGTTAGTTATCACAAGTTAAAAGGTAAGACCTCGTTAATCCTTAGCTCGCACAAGTTCTTATTAGCAAGGCGAAATCGATTGCCTCGAATTTTCCTACACACTCTCACAGACACCAGCGATGTACATTTTGGAGCTACTCAGTTCACAACCTTCCGTATCGATATACGTATCTGATTATACCTGACTAAGAAATTTTATACCGAGTTTCGTGTTTCTGATGTTGAAAATTGCAGGAGTAGCCCACCATGAGGACGTCTCATAGCATAATTATCCTCCCCTTTGAGATAGAAACTAGAAAACCCTCAATGAAAGAGTTGTTGTTTTATCTAGCAGAGAGGTTCAGTATGTTTTCAATATTAAGAATGAGAGCCTTCTTGAGAGCAGAATTGGAAAAACCCCATCTTTCTAGTGCTGGACTAGTGACCTGTAAGGAGGCCTGTTAGACATTGTAGTTCATCCCTACTGTACTCCAACAACTGTTTCGTTTCAAACTTCGAAGGGTGAATGAACGCCTGGAAGTAAGCTAATCCTGGAAGATTTTGCAAGAAAGTCTTTAAATCTTCTTGCCATCCAGGTGTTCAACGTTTATTTGTCAAAACCTAACTCAATGCCAATGACACGTTCTGGTCCGATGAATCTACTTGCATCCTCGGGCATATACCAAAACGTTTAGTGCATTGTTCAAATACTTATTTGGTACATTGAATTATATATCTAGGACACTTGAGCATTTATAACACAAATACAGCTGATGAGTCTACCAAAATTTGTTTGTCTCTTCCTAGGCAAAAGTAGAAAAAATCTCATTTTGACATAAAAATCAAGGAAAACGTGTATACGCATACATTTTTGACACCAAAAACCAACCAAAATCGTAAAAAAAATGGTGGATAAGTTTTATAAAAATGCAATCAAAAGAAAACTGCATCAATATTACTTCAGAAAAATGAACCCCCTACACTTGACAAGGTACTTAGAGACATAAACGACCCTTCGGATTTGCCAAGTTTCAAATGGTAGTTTCTTGTTTCGTCAATTCGTCTTTCGTCACCTAGGGAAATTTTACCTGTTATGACCCATTTTATTCTTGTTTCGTCAACTGCAAAATGTACCTGATTAAGGTGTTCTTGTTTCATCACCTCATCTTTGCACCTGCGCTAGTGATTAAGAGGCTTCTATTATTATATTTTGTCCTCATTGTGGCCTTTGTGAAAAATTATATTCCTGAGCTTTTGTGTATATTTACTAAAGGTATATACTTTAGGTAAGTATTAAAATGTTTGACCCTTCGTCTCCTATAGGTACCTGTGATATCAATTTATTCCTGGAATCTATTTACCTACACCAAAAGTATTGTCAAATAGATTTTTGATTAAATTTCATTCTAATATTTAGAAGGGATATAAGAAATAGCTTGATGATCATAAATTCAGTTTGTGCTGACATTCGAACTAGATTTATAAATTTTGAAGTGAACAGTGTAGTGATAAACAAGATGGGTGAGTTACTTATTTTATTTTTTCTATCATTGAGAAAGTGAATCCATTTCAAATGTCGTTGTAAAGTATTTCATAACACACGACAGTTGTGGAAGTAGTCGAAACTAAACCGTAAAGCTGGTGGTATCTTCATTATTTTTATAAGAGACGTATATGTATATGTTCATCAGATAAAATGACGTTTAAAAATTATTACTTCCTTATCTTGAGAATTTATATTTCAGTTTCACTTGAACTATTTAGCCGATTTGGTGATAAACAGGAAAACAAACTTTTGGGAAACATCAGAACGACAGTTGAAAAGTACTGAAAATGTTTTCTGTTATTTCAGACAGAATTTCATCTCTTTAACATTCAAGTAAATTATATCTTACTGCCAGTGCCATTCTTGTGATTTCATCAATCTGATCATTCACTGGATGTATTTAAACTTATAGAGCAGTGTAACTAACTAAATTCAAGAAAAAGTAAATAATTACCTACTTTCTTAGTAGTTTGTGGGAAAAAAATGACGAAAGTCTATCTAACAGTTTGATTTTCCACAACCCAGTACAAGAACAGCGAAGAAGTTGACTAAGTTCTCGTTAAACACATTTAATTTGGGAAAAACATTTCATCTCTCTTTATAGGGAGATAAAATTCTAAGTGAGTACTGTTGAAAAATAACTATTATTATTACTTTTCAGAAACCGAAGAAACCCTGATTCAGTTGCTAGTCAAAGAACTGAGCTGTGAATCCTGCTCCTCACAGGTGTCCCCTCCAATAATTCAATGTTTCTTTGGTCACCGTGAGTGCAGTAGGTGTACTGAAAAATCTAGAGACTGTAACATATGCACTTTACGCAGAAACTACAGTAGAGATAATTTTGTGGAAAGACTGTGTTTCAGAACAATTCTGAAATGTTCTTTCTCCAATGAAGGTTGCCTTTTCTCAGATAAGGCATTAGAGGTTGCAGTTCATGAAAAAAATTGCACTTTTGGTTCCGAATCATTTCGTTCAAATGAATACTGTAATATTGTGGAAAGTGGCGCAGCTACAATGAAGTCTTCAGAATTCAAAAATGATGATTGTGTGAAAACTCTTGAAGAGAATCTGTCCAAACAAAAAGCAGATATTAGAAAAGGTGAGTTATCTAATGTTTTGTCAATTGCCCCAGCGGCATTTTCAATATTACTTTACTTCACTTCACGGTTATTTTCTGTATGAAAATTTAAATTTGTTTTATGACTTTTTACAGCTTTGCCTGGAGAACGTTTGGAAGACGTCCTCACCTCCGCATTGCAATGTCCAGTTTGCTTGACGAGAATTATCCCACCAATACCAGAATGTACCAACGGTCATCAGATTTGTTTTCGATGTTGCTCGAGAGTAAAGAATTGTCCTGTGTGTAGAGGCCAAAATGTAGCACAGGAGAACAGGTTTTTGGTAAAAATATTCGAAAGACTAGATATACGTTGCAAAAATGCTGTCAACGGCTGTCAAATCCACAAAAAAGGACGATACATAGTATATCACGAAAATGTGTGTGAATTTGCCTTCAGATCGTGTCCACTGAGAGCGACTGACAAATGCAAATGGAAAGGTTTCAAATCTGACCTCGTACATCATTGCATGAGAGAACATGCTGACATGATTAGTTCGGAATCTGAAAATAGGTGGGAATTGAGGGGTTTCAAGAATCAAAAATGCCCTCAATTCAATCTCCTGTATGCTCACGATGTTGTGTTCAGATGTGGCTGGGAGAGATATGGACTGTCGAAAAGATTCTCCGTGAATCACATAGTAGACGAAAATGACCCGACGTCGTACACTTTCGATCTCAAGATAGTTAAACCTGGAACCGATAATGTATTTATGGTTTCTAGTGGCGTATGTTTTCCAGTAAGCAATTTTCGTATCATATCGGTGACTACTTCTTATATAGTTTTATCTAAGAAAAATATTTTAGATTTTTGTGATATTAACGGTAATCTCAGCTATATTATAAAAATCAATAAAAACGTTTGAATGTTCCATTTTTTCATGAGACTATTTTTATTGTACCTATTGCATCGGTTTTATCAATTCAGAAACTCAATTCCTATAATAATTGAGTTTTTGAATCGACTTCAACTATTATTCAAATAAAAATCACTTTTGTCTAATTACTGCTAGTGTTTTCATTCATTTCATTAAGGTGATCATGAATTACCGTAAAATAGACAAGTCATCAGTTACACATATCAAACAAAAATAGTTATCGTATCAGTACTTGCAATCAGCATTCCTAGTATTGACAATTATTGAAGAGGCACTTATTGTAATAGGAACAAAAATAAAAAGTGATAAATATCATACCAACATATTTTTTTATCTTGTACCAAACATGAACGTTGTTAAAACTAGTCTCTAGACAATATCTTATTTATTATGTTGCGAAGTGCGTTTCTAGTTATATCATTCATTAATACTTATCCATATAATTAATTTTGTTTCATAAACATGTCATGTTGAATATAACCTCATAATTAATCATTCAACAAATGCGACACTTCACTTGATTCGTTCTGTCCAGCTTGCATTTTCAAATTAATCACAACAATATCTATGAACTTTGCACCGTTTTGCATCTCTCTTGGAGTCACGTGAGGTATCGTACATAAAAACTAATGACGCCCTGGGAGGCGAAGCAGTAATTCACCAGTCTTGTAACAACCACAACCTACTTCTTTATACCTCCGACTTAGCTGTTTTTAGTATTGAAATAAAGTATTTTACAAGGAAAACAGCTAGTATTTTGAATTGATTAACGTTAAGATCCTTATGTGGCAAAACCCCAACAATCAAATGCCTGACAACGTACCATTTGGCATCCAAAAAGTCCGTCTTATGAAAAAACTATGGAATAAGGAATTAATAAGCAGGAGATAGTGAAATGAATAAATAGTAAATCAAATTAACTAAAAGAACAATTTGATCAGGCCAGTCACTATTTACCTACACTGTAGGTTAATGGACTGACACCTATCAGAAAACAACTATACCCCTGGCTAATACCATAATGAGCGTTGAATTATGTCTGGCAGATGTCAGAGGGCAGAAATCTTCACAGAAGTATTTTGTGTTGGTGATACAACTGCTGGAATCGATTTTCAATTATAGGAACCGGAATAGTTGTTTTCTGATAGGTGTCAGTCCATTAAGCTACAACATAGGTAAGTCGAGACTGGCTTGAACAAATTGTTCTTTTAGATTGATTTACAGCCAGTCTTCAAGTATGCCCACTGAGTATATGTAAATGAATAGTACCTGGGCCAACATAAAAATCTGACAGTAGTCAAATCATCAATGAAAAAACTATCCAACAAATTTTGAAAGNTGAGATCAACACGAAAACGAACATGTTTTAATCTAAAATGTAATTTGGAAGAACGAACACGTCGGCGAATAAAGTTCGGCCCTGGAATGCCCCGGCCTGGTCAAGTTAGAATTAGGGAGGAGTTTGTATTTATTTCATCGGGCGAAATCGCACTGCCATCTGGCGGTATACGTTTTCGTAACTAAAGGCTAAAGACACTTAACGTTAAGATCCTTATGTGGCAAAACCCCAACAATCAAATGCCTGACAACGTACCATTTGGCATCCAAAATGTCCGTCTTATGAAAAAAACTATGGGATAAGGAATTAATAAGCAGGAAATAGTAAAATGAATAAATACTAAATCAAATTAACTAAAAGAACAATTTGATCAGGCCAGTCACGATTTACTTACACTGTAGGTTAATGGACTGACACTTTTCAGAAAACAACTATTCCCCTGGCTAATACCATAATGAGCGTTGAATTATGTCCGCCAGATGTCAGGGCAGAAATCTTCACAGAAATATTTTCTTCATATGCTGTTGGCGATACAACTGCTGGAATCGATTTTCAATTATAGGAACCGGAATAGTTGTTTTCTGATAGGTGTCAGTCCATTAACCTACAATGTAGGTAAGTCGAGACTGGCTTGAACAAATTGTTCTTTTAGTTTGATTTACAGCCAGTCTTCAAGTATGCCCACTGAATATATGTAAATGAATAGTACCTGGGCCAACATAAAAATCTGACAGTAGTCAAATCATCAATGAAAAAACTATCCAACAAATTTTGAAAGGAATCTTAGACAGCAAAAATGAAACTGAACTGAAATTAAAAATGCCATCCAAGCAAGTAAGGTTCGGCTACTCCTCGAAATAGAGAACTGTTACAAATAATTGAACAATTGAAAATATTCAATCGGAAAAATAATATTGTTTTGTTCGGGCTGAATGAACCCGTTCAAGGAATTACCGGTGATTTCATTTGTCAACAGTTGAATAAACTTTTAGGAGCGGAACTTTCATATAAAAACATTGATGATATTTATGTCCTTGTTAAACCAGACAATTCTCCCATCAAAGGTAAACTCAAAACTTCTCTCAGAAATAAAAATTTTCTTAGAAGTTGTGAAAGAAACAAAAATCTCAACTTCTAACGACTTCACTAAAGATCAGCGCCAAGAACAAAAAGTTTAAAAAAGTACCTTGAGGAAGCGAAAGAATCATCGAAAAAATATTCCAGAAGTTATATAAAACCAAAAAAAAAATTTAGATGATACAACGTATGCTTAAAATCTGGTCGCATTTTGAGAAGAAAACGAAAAGAAGGCTTATAGCGCTCTATCTACACCAGTTCCCTCTTCCTACTTGCCATCAGTACAAAAAGAAAAAAACAATTATTACCAACCACCAGCAAGAGGTGGAAAAAGTCAAAAAAGTGATATTACTGAAAAAATTACCTTCGTATTCGGTCACTTCACAATCTTCAAAACAGAAAGCGTAAACCTCTTTCAATTTATATTACATTTCACAACTTGTAGTTTGATATTGCGGTTATCATCGCCAAAATGGACCAGTATATCAGGGATGTTGAATATATTCCTGAAGTCATTATCTTCGGTGGCTGAACTCAATAATAATCATGCCAAAATTGCAAACAAACCTAATTTCAGTGAATTCCATCAGAATATTTGTAGTCTAAATAGAAATTTGAATGAGCTAAAGATTCACTAAAGTCAGTTATCCTTTGACTGATCCTTGAACTGATTGTTTAGTACTCAGTGAAACTCATAATATTTTACACTTATTATATAACAAGGGGGATGTAAATAAAAATGACGGGATAAATACATTTCATTTTCCTAATAAAATACTCCAAATTGCTGATTTCAAAGTGTTAACCATAGGAATAACATTGTGTCAACTTGAAAAAAATTGGTTACGGGTATTTATAGATCTCGGCAACAGACGATGAATATTTTATTGAAGACCTGGAAAAATATCTGCAGAAAATTAATAAAATATATAGTATTGATCATCACATAATAATCTAAGATCTGAATATAAAAATAAAACAAGATTCAGATACAGTGTTTGACAATAGAATAACCGAATAACTTTTTTCGAGATCAATTGCCCTAACACCAAACTGATATTTTTGCACTCGACGCGCGTTTCGCCAACAAAGTTAGCATCCTCAAGAGAAGAAAATTGATACCTAGTCTAGTCTGGTTAGTCCTTATATACTAAAATTTGTTACCTAAGGTTGTATACCTGAAGTCCAATATGGAATTTCTCGGTAATTAACTACCTGCAAGTTCTTAGTAACTATTCTCTTTCTAACAGAATATTAAAAAGCGGGCTAAACTATAACAAAAATTGCTTCACTTAATCAAGTGAAATATCGTTGTAAATAAAATAAATTTGTTTAAGACAGTTAATTTAATAATTTGCTATAGTACGGAATACTCAGTAAGAATATTTTCAAAATTCACTGAAGAAAGTACTCAAACAAAAAAACTGAATCAGCGGCATCATGAAAACTGGATTACATTAGTATTAATCAAATCAATTACGAAAAACACAAATTATATGACGAACATAAAAAATACGCTTCCAACATTGAAAGAAAGGAAAAATATATATGTCGTAGAAATACATTAAATAAGATGATTAAAAAGCAAAAATTGAATACTAGAAAAAACAAATTGAATGTGGTAAATATGATTCAAAAAAATTATGTAACTTAATATATCGAATAGAAAAGTGTGATAAACGTAACAATTGTTATATTTGTTTTAACAAATACTTACTGATGATAACCATATCCTTACAAAGGGCGGCAAAATAGCTGAAGAATTCCATAATTTTTTTCTCCAATGTAGGTTGTAGTCTTACTAAAAACACACCTCTACAAAATGATTCTGCTCCTAGTAACAATCGTCTACTTCACTCATTTTATTTATCACCTGTAGACGAAAACGAGGTTGTGAACTTCGTACACACTTTGAAAAATAAGAAAGCAGCTGGGCTGAAACGTATCGAAACAGATGTTATCAAGGCCTTACCAGATATAATTTCTCCATTGCTGGTCCATCTAATTAACAATTTCGCCCATGTCCATGTATTTTCAAAAAAAATGAAGCAAACAGCAGTCATCCCCAACTACAAAAAAAAGATAAGAGAAAAGGGTGTAACTATCGGCCAATTTCTGTGAAATCCACTCTCAAAAATATTGGAAAAGGCCATTAATGCTAGGTTACTGATTTCACCAACAAATATAAAATATAATCGAATAGTCAATTCAGATTCCGAGAAGGTTTATCTGCACATGACACAATAGCTTCGTTAATGAAAGCTATACACAAATCTTTGAACGAGCTAAAATGTTGAAAATACATGATACTTCTAGCACTACTTGACCAATCACTTATGGAATGCCCCAAGGCACGGTCTTGGGAGCTATACTTTTTTCACTCTACATAAATGACCTTTTATCCCTAAACAACAAAAGTGAAATTACCAGTTTCGTTGATGACGGAGCTGTATTATGTACTGATCAAATCTCAAAGTCTCAGTACGAAGGAATCTCATAAAATCATTCAATTGATTCAGACATAAACAATCAACAGTTAATTTCATCAGTTCGGACTTCCATTTTCTAATATAATGTGAAATCTCTGAAATAACAAATGAAAATGAAAATTTAAATGAATATCTGAAAACTACAATCATATTGAGCAATAAAACCCTGCAAATAAATTACAATAAAATAAATGAAGGATAAAATTAAACAATCGAAATGAAATGAAAATCAAAAGACGTTCCGATTGTTGGTATCCATAATACTCTTCGGGTGATGACTTGACTATTCCTCCGAAAGATGACTATTTATAGGTCATACGAGTGCTTTCACCTTTCCCTTGTTTCCTCTCTCCAATTCACCGGTTTGGCGGGAATGCGGGAGATAACCGGTTAGCAGGAGTTGACCGTTTTCCGCTTTATTATGGGTTTCCATATTTTGCGTATCTCTACTCCAGCTTGGCTGAATGCATCGTTGGAAAACATGTATGTGGCTCCTTTAAAATTCATCCTAAACCTGTATTCCTCACTGTGGATGATCTCAGCTTGGAACCACTTGAAATTATGTTGATGGGTCCAACATGCTCTGCTATTCCCGATTTGATAGGTGTGTTTCTCCTGCTCGGCAATGCGGACTTTCAATGACCTCTTAGTTTCACCGATGTATGATTCTCCACACTCGCAGAGTATCCAGTAAATGCAATTCTTGAAATCGCAGTCCGCGTTTGGTGGGCTGGTTTTCGTGAGGGTGCTACGGATTGTCGGAAAGGATAAGAGAAATTGGTTCCACGTAAAACATCAGAACCTGTTTCAGATACGGAAACACCGTCATAAAAACCCGAAGTCACGAGGATGAAAAGTCAGTCCGAAGTACACATCGTGTAGTATGCATCAAACATGTGCCTGATGTAGCAGTAAAGTGAGCCCGAAGTAAAACTCCATTCAGAACACATCGAGTCAGTGTGTGATGTAATACTAAAGTTAGTCCAGTTCTGGTCACCTAAAATTCGTTGACTAGACATCGAACAGTTACTCAACGTATACATAGTATTAAAAAAAAAATTATCGTGATATTATATGGACTCCCGTCACAAATAAATTCTCATTTGTTCTAGCCCCCTTTTAAAAATTAGAAAGGTCTCCAATATTCGGAAATCGGAAACTATTCCGTTAGAAATTGTAGTTATCAATTGTTTTCCAGCAAAATACAAATACCGCAAAATAGTCAAAAAGTGTGTTGTTTGATTGTCACCACCCTGGCGGTAGATGAACATCGTCCAAAAAGAAAAGATGACCGTGGAAAGAGAAACCTCGAATATCAGGTTTCTCACCACTACTCGGCGTTACCTTCGTACAGGCTGGAACGGAGGATATCCACAGGTTCCCAGTACCAAATTCCATCACAGTATTTTCCCAGACCATATCGTAAAGGTAGACCAAATTCTTATCCTGTTCCTTATTATGCGGTGCAAATGGAACCACTTTTCCATTACTCACAAAGAGATCCCTTGTATGATACTAACATTTTGTCCCTAGATACACACAACGATGACCCACTAACCGAAAACAACCAAGTTCAAGACAACGTTGATCGCTACGGATACCACAAGCCTCGCATCATCGAAAGGCCAGTTTATATCAAGGAGCCGGAACCCATAATCGAAATTATCATCAAAGAATCGAACGTTAGTCTGCCAGCTCCCCCTCCACCACCTCCACCTCCAAAAAAGAAGAAAGAAGAAGTACAGGTATTTTACGTCAAGTATGAGAAAAATCCTCATGGTACTGGAAAAAATAGTATTATATACGACAAACCAGTTCCCGCAATTTCTCCAAAGCTTCCTGACCGTGAAGAAGAGGAACACGCAGAAGAAGCTTCTTATAATTATCATTCGGAATCTGCAACAGTAGTTCCCCCTCCAAGTACCACTTTGAGAACAGTTATTAGACCTGACTCTGAAACATACCATAGCCCAAGTGGAGTTAAAGTGACTTTTGGTAAAGAAGGGTTTGACTACGACAAGAGATCTCCCAAGCCTGAAGACTTCCAACCTCCTCCGTCATCTCAGCTTCCTCAAGGAAGACAACTCTCTTCTTTTTCCAATACTTACTTCAAAAGACCAGCGACGTCTCAAAATTATCAGACGCTTCCTCCTGGATTTAGATCTGATGTCAGACCACCTCAGTCATATAGACCATTCACATTTTCTTCTCCATCTAACTTTAAAACTTTTGGACGTCAATCTGCACCATCTCAATATCAGCAACAAGCTCAACAACCCCCAAAATACTCCTTCCAATCTCCTCCTTTTCCAAAACCCAATCAGCAATTCAACAGTTTCTCTTCGCAGTCACCGCACTTTTCACATACTATCTCACATCCTCCTCCGCCACGTTTCCAGAGTCCCAGACCTACAGCACCACAAGGACGACAGCCTGTCCCCTACAAACCATTTGAGAATTTGAGGCCACAACAGACGTTTTCACAACCAGCAGTTGATAATTTGAAGCATCAACAAACATTTTCACAACCAGCAGTTGACAATTTGAGGAATCAACAGACGTTCTCACAACCCCCAGTCGACACACTGAGGTCACAACAGACATTTTCACAACCCCCTCCTGTTAGCTCACCGCTTACTCAGCATCATATCCACAGACCTGAAGCACATTTTCCCGTACACCAACAGCTCCCTTTGACCGAACAGACGCACACGTTCAACAAGCCAAGATTCAGTCAACCAATTGAATCACAATTTAATAATGTAGAGTTGCCACATAAACCTGTTCTACAACACTCAACACAATACAATCCTCCACAAGCTTTACAACAATTACCGAACCAACAACTCCACCAGAACTTCTTGAAACAGCAGACGTCAAATCACCAGCAAAACGTTCTGCAACAAAACTTGCAACAACAGCTTCAAGGAAATTTCAACCAACAAAATCAAAATTACCAACATCAGCAAACACTCTACCATAATCAACAGCAACAATCAGTTTCGCAGAATGANTTTGATTACTCATAAAACATAAAACATTTTATCACTTTTTTCGCTCTAGACCAACCTTTTCGTTTTGAAATAATTGTAAGGCATTAATGCAATCATACACATGCCTCTGGAGTAATTTCGTAAATTTTACTATCGAATCGTCTCTCTATGAAATATATAGAATTTGAGAAAAAAATTCAACGTATCCACCGTCGGACTATCATTCAGGGTCGATAATTTTTGAAACCAAAAATGAAAAATAACAGTACAATGAAACCCATTAGAAAAGGAGGAGAATATGATAAAAATGAAAGAAAAATATTACGGGCGATCTTACTTCGAGATGTGGGGGGAATTGCGTTTTTAAGTTAATAAAATGAGATGATTGCAACTATGATATTTATGTAATTAAGTATTAGAAAATGAACTCAACAGGTTGTAGGACATGATTGACAAAACACATTAAGTTTGACAGAATTTCTTGTTCTGACCATTAGAAGGCATACAAGTTTAACTTGTATGCCTCCCACCAACAAACTGAACATACTAAACAGCTGATTCTGTGGACATATGTTCGAGAAGAGTGTACCAAGAAAAAAATAATCGATAATCGAATGTACGTGTCCGGCGAAATTTGAACATTCACCTCATTTTTTTAACAGTCCACGTACAATCCCTTACACACAGTGTTGTTTCAGCTCGAAACAAAATGTAACAGATCAAAAAGTAAGATTTGACAGAAAATTTTGAATTTTGACTGAGTCGCACTCTCAGAGTAATAATAAAACATTGACTTGCCATGCCTGTACGGTGCCTATACCAAAACAATACATGTGTTCTGAAACGGTACCGTACTATTCTTTTCTGTACAACTTATGGGTAAGGGGGGTGGCGGGTAATAAGAGATTATGGAGAGTTTGTTTACATTTGGAGTAAGTGGAACCATAATCCAAAATTAGCATGCGCTGTATACGCCAATTACGGGGCTCAAAACGAATTGACATTCGACATCAACAAAATTGTTTGATCTGTGGAATAAAAATAATTCTCTANTATGACACTTCACAGCAATTAATTCAAATGGATATTCTCGAAGATAGTATGAATTTAAAATTCAAGGACATAGCGGTTGCGGCGGTACCGGCCGGGGGAACGACAGCGCGTGCCTTCGCCTTATAGCACTGAATGATTAGCAGTGATTTCATCCGTGTGAAATCGGGGCTGGTCGCTAGTTTCTTTTACAATACACATACACTCGAAAAAACTGACCACAACACCTTAGATTTTTTGAATCACACTAAGCACAAATATGTAATATTGACTTTCTCAGTGTAGTGGAATATATTGGAAATCTGCCAAAACTAGGGTAAGAAGTGAAATGGAAGATTATGTTTACACAGATAGTTTTCAATATAGAATATTCGAAGGGTAACTAGAAGAGTACTAATCGTCTCTAGACACTTATTAGGTATTCAGTTGGGTTATCAAGGTTGCTCTCCAGACTGTAATGGCATATTTTAAGTGACTTTCATAGTGCAAGTTTTTTTATTGTGCTATGTGAGTATTCCATTTCAGGTTTTTATTCATTCAAACACGCAAATACTTTATTTCATTTCTTAAATCAATTGTCAGATTTTTCCCTTCAAAAGGTTTGTGAACTTGACATTGTCAATTAACGATTGTTTTGTCAAAAAGCGGATATTTTTGGGCACGAAAGATCTTTATTTTTGTAACGAAATATCAGTTGTGAACTCGATGTGAACACCAACTGGAAGGTTAACAAAAATTCAGTCAAAGACGCGCTGTTTAAACAGAAGCCTATCCACGGATTACTTTTGGTGTCAGCCATTTGGTATGCTGCTCAGTTTGGTGTCACAACAGAAACATTAAACAAACATTAAAAACCTCAAGGGTATTTTCCAATGACAATCAATATTATTGCATAAGAAAGAGGTAGAAAATCCAAATTCTTACTCATCAGTCAGTCTATGATAAGTACAATTCTAAAATCTGAGATTTAGTCAATAGCCCATTATAGACAATCAATGTCCGAAAGTATATCTTCATATTTGAGATATTGAATGAGGTAGCTAATGAGGATGATTCAAAAGTTATTGGGACGTTTGTCTTTGATTTGTATTTTGAGTTTTCTGCATATCCCATAAATGGCATCTTCGTAAGTAGAGTTTTCGATTTCTATGTCAAGTCAAGTTTGTTTTCTCATGACAGAATGGATCCACAACCCGGTCAAGAACCATTGATCTATGACATAGAAATAGTGCTCTCTAGTATTATATCGTGGATTTTATTGCTTTGATATTGTTTGATTACCTGATTGCAATGAAAGCTTCAGATAGGAGAAGCAAGCAATTTTTTAGTTGTTGGCTTTGCAACGAACTCTTGTTGGAACCATCGTTTATTATTAATATTCGTTATTTGAGTTTCGAATCACATATAACATCTTCGTGAAAGAAGTCGTCATCTTCACTTCTAAGTCAGGATTATCCTTCATATGGACAGAAGGGGTCAAACATTTCATCCATGATCTTGCCTAGAGCTCTCATGATCAACGAATTGACCTACAGATGGTTCATCAATCCACAATCACCATACAAAACATTACATGTTCTCTTAAAAATACAATAATCACTGAAAAGGTCGACTCCATTTTTATTGTATTTAGGAAAAATTGAATCTGAAATATTTTGAACGTTCACACAATATCTGTTATATGAAGTATAATGAGTTTAATCATCATTTCACAGATACCTTCCTCTTAAAGTAAATGGTACCCAATTCCCTATCCCAGATGTACCGGAGCTCAAAGGAAAGAAAATATCCAGCGTGGTCGTACTTGCCCCAGTAACCTACGACTTTTCTTCTGACCGAAAAACTAGACAAACAACTAGAGAGCTGTCACAAAAATCAACTGATATTCAACTGATCGAAGGGATTGCTCTAAAGGATTTGTTGGCAAATCCCACACAGGAGAATTACAAGAAATTTTTAGAAAGCGAAAGGAATTCCAAGAGTGACAAACAGTCAGTAATACTGCTAGTTACAGAGTAAGTAGCCATTGTTTACCGTTTTTTCATCAAGCATGAGTATGTAAACGCATCCTCTTTAGAAGCTGTCTTTTTTTTCTACCTTCATTTCGTTCCTAAATATATTTTTATGGAATTTCCACTTCCATTGGAAATAATTGTCAGCTGTGAAAATTTTTGTACGAACACCATGTCAAAACACACTATAAAGTGTGTGTCACATTTAGCTCCCATCAGAAGTCTGGGATGAAGGAGCTAAGTTATCAAAACATGTTTTGTACGTACCCAGTAGAAACGTATCCCATATTGAGATTCTGTCAGAAATGTACTCTTGTTGTATTGTATGGGTATATACCGAGTGATCAGAAAGTTTGATCTATTCAACCGTCCCTATTTTCAATCAACACTCATTTGTAGAGTATGTTTGTTTGTAAATGTTTGAAAATGTATTTTTTCATTATCGAATATTAACTTGGTTACCCGTTGGGTAAATAGAAATTCAAGAACAATTTTTTTGATTATTTCCAATATTATTGCAGATACTAGTACTCCCTGAAACCCATTTTTAGGTCAATACTCAGGAAAGTTATAATAATCTTTTCAAAAACTTGGATAATGAAATTTTAGATTGAAATAAATTTCATAAATTTTGAGGTTATGTGAAAAAATTATAGATACAAAAGTTGTAGATCTGTTTATTACCTACAACTTTGCTATTCAAATTTTTTCCATAGGACTTGTAGTTTTGCCGGAAATAGAGATAAACCATTTACCCTTAAAAACTCACCCCCTTCCACTTCCCCAATTCAGATCGGCCGCAATTTATTTTTCCTTCCAGTGTTATCATATTCCCCCCTTTTCTAGTGAGTTTCATCCTACTATCATTTCTTTTTCACTTTTTAGCATTTTTGAAGGCTTCAGCCGTGGTCCATAGTTCAGACTTTTACCTGATATTACCACAGCTTACTAAGTAAGCTGTGATATTACGGTTCAACACCATGAGACATCTCCTCATTATGATATGCTGCCTCGAAGATATCTAATAGATGACAATTATTCAAATCAGTGGATTGGCAGACGTGATTTCTCCGAATGACCTGCTAGATCACCTGATATTCTCTTAGGTTATATGTGTGTTGATGAATGGAATCTCTTACATAAATGCAGTCTATTCAGGGAGTCATAAATAAAATCAGAGATGCTTGCAAACAAACTATCCCAGACACGTTTCATAATGTATATAAGAATGAACTGCTTTATTATTAGAAGGTGAATGATGGATATTTCGATATTTATTATGATGAACTGGAGTAAGTTTTGACTGAAATTTCAATTGAAAACGAATATTAAACCTTTAATTTCATTGACAGAATTTTCTGATGTTCCAAAAATATTTGAATAAGGACATAAAGAGAGGACAGAGACAAGGTGGTACAAATGTAAAAGAAGAAATAAAATATCTTCGTTTCAATTTGACTTGGGTGCTTGTTGAACTGTTATTGGAAAGGAAGTGAAATAATAACAAATGGATATTCAAAGAATGGTGCAATATGAAGCACGTTTAGTGCTTCTCCCTCTCCGGGAGAAGGAAATATTAAGAGTAGATAGTTGTTGGTTCACAGATGGATCAAAATCATCTATCGGTTCTGGTGCAGGTGTTTTTATTCGCAGACCCAGGACAGAGTTATCTCCCTGCCTAGGAACTTATGTGACTGTATTTCAAGAGGAAATTTACGCCATTGAATTGTGTGCGGAGAGATTGGATAAATCCAACCTCACTCACAAGTCAATAAAAATATTATCGAACAGTCAAGCGGCGTTGGAAGCTCTTGACTCTTACCGAGCAACGTCTAAATTGGTAGCAAACTGCCAAAAACGACTCTCCTCGATAGGAAGACTTAAGAGATTGTCTATGGTCATTGCCTTCCAGGCCATACTGGCAATGAAGCTGCTGACTATCTTGCAAAGGAGGGTGCTGCAAGCGGCTTCATCGGACCAGAACCTGTCATTGGCATCGCTTTGGGCTTTGCCAAACAAACACCTGGATGGCAAGAAGATTTATGGACTTCTGGCAGAATCTTCCAGGATTGGCTCACTCCAAGGCGTTTATTCACCCTTCTTGATACCAAACAGTTGTTGGACTACAGTAGGGATGAACTACGATGTCTAACAGGCCTTCTTACAGGTCACTGTCATTTGAATCATCATATGCAGAGACTTGGACTGTCGGAGGACAGTGTGTGTCGCCTCTGCCTGGAAAATGATGAAACAGCAGTGCATATACTTTGTGCCTGCCCCGCTGGAGACCGAATCAGGTTTTTAGAGTTCGGCAGATCCGTACTCTCACCATCTGACCTGAAACACCAATCACCATACAAACTAATCGGCTTCGTTGAGAAGCTGGGTTTATTTGACCGAGGGTGAATAGGTGTGGGCAATAATAAACCCTTGTGGGTTACGGTGGAGGGTCGAATAGACTCACTCACTTCAGACCTACCTACTTACCAACTCCTCTTCTTGCCGTCATGAATAAAGAAAAAAAAATCACTCATCAATTAGATATTGATAGAAACTTCCTGTATGGTTTACTCACAGTAGAGTAGAAATAATCGGCATCCTCGAGATTTTGCAAAGGATACAAAACTTATTGTCGCTGTGAATATAAATTTCTATGATCTGTACTTTTCAATATTACTGGAGTTTTTTCCCAAGCAAACACGTGTCGAGGTGTTAAAATAACGGTTTGGTGTTGGGAAAAAACTCCAGTAATATTTATTACTACACCAAAGGTTCCAAACAGTGCATCATCTGTATTTTTGTTGGGAAACTTATTATAAGATATATTATTCTCAATTACATATTACTATTTTCGACGGTTTCCACCATTTTTATCTAGTTGTCAAAATGTAGATATACTTGGAGACATTTAGGAATTCGAATATACAGGTCGTTTCTTTTATCATGTGGTATCATTGCTATATTTTAAACCGTAACAGATACAAAGATATAAAATGGAAAAAATGGTAACTGTCATCGAGAACAATACAATAGTCGAAGAAAATTTACTCGAAGAAAATTTACACTCTTCTAGAGTTATATGAGGAAAACCAAAAATGTTGTTTTTCGTTTTTTTGGAATGGAATTGTTATTTCGGAGAGCATAAAAAAATGGAAAAAGAAAATGCATTCGAAATGTACTATGACAATGTGATTTTTAAATACAGGCCTGTCCAAGATTATATCACATTTGATATTTTTATAGCGTTTCATTTGAAATAACACCATCATCAGTGACAACAATCAAACAGAAAAACAATTTATTTTATCATGAACTTTTGGTGAAAATTAAACCAATACGGAAATTCAAAGTTACATGGCAATCTACAATAAATTCTCGAATTAACGACCTCTTTGTTGCATGCACATACGTTGTCAGTCCAGACAATTTCTGTGGCAATATTCTGGCATGATAGGTGTAATACTAACACATGAATCTCTAATATTTTGTTTGAGATGGTTGATATCTGTACTTGGNTATCAATATCTGTAATAAAAAAGACAGGCCCGCATCTAAAAAAAAAAGGTTGATGGTGGCCATGTTGACACGAAACGTTTTATCGAATATTTATTATTACATCATCATAGTGCACTTCGAATACAATCACTTTTTTTTTCGTTTATATGAAAAAATTGATTAGTCACACATAATCGACATGTTATTAGAGATTTATTGAACTCATCATGTTTTTTATTTAATATTGAAATGTTTGTTATTTCAATGATTTCATTAATGAAATTAGTGTTAGACATGATGAATATTCAACAAAAAATTCGTTCATTTGTTAATATATGTCAACTTCATCATTTTCTTACGATTAGTGTTATACTACGATAGAAGTTATACTTCGTAAGGTTTTTCTGAGTTTACTAATGTTATTATTACACATTTTCAACAGATTATTTAATAAGTTGAATATTCTGAAATTTTTCCAATAAAAGCAGCATATTTTTAAAAGAGTTTTGAAAATCGTATAGTTCAGAGTAAACATTCCAAGTCTGTGGCTCATTACCAGTGAATTCCAATGTCTGAAACAGTTGACCAACCCATACAAAAGTGAAACCGTCCTTCACCTCTGTTGTCCTTCAGGTAGTGACCCAGTTCCATCCGTCGTACAAAGAGACGGCACCAAAGTGGAGGAACGCCTCATCGAAGACGAAGACGAGTTGGAACCGGCTGCTTCCGACATCCAAGAAGTGAGCGCTTTGCCACAAGGCCCGCCTTCCGCAGTCGACCTCAAGGTGGTGCACTACGATCCGGACACCGACAGCGGCCAGCAGGTGCAGCAAAAGTACGTCGAAGACGAGGCCACGCAGGTGAATCCCGTCGTTCTCAACGACAGCTCGTACAACAGGTGAGAAATTCCAGGGTTGGTATAGAAAAAAACATTGCAAACATGGTATAAATAAAAGTATATGGACAACGAAAGGTGACATTGCAGTTGTTTCTTGAAATTATTTAAAATAATTGAAAGAAACAAATTTATTAGAGAGGAAAGTTTCATCGTCTGTAATATACATATGGAGAAATGGATTTGCAGCATGCAGTTTTTCTTACATTTATGTCATCACAAAGCAAATTCACTCTTTCATAAGAAGTTATACTTATTAATAACGATACGGCGTCCCTCTTGTATTTATGTTTGAATCATGTGAGTGATTTCGAAATGAAATAAATTAATCTTTGGAAGCATGAAGTTCAGCTGTTGAGTTCATCATGATTATATAACAAATTTCATCATTTCAGCATATTTGCACTTACACCGCTAAACTATGGTTTGAAGGACTTGTTTCTGACATTTTTCTTCTTGGTGACTCTGATGACGTAGATGGGAAATGCGCCTGGATGTGGAATATTTATGTCTGTACATCTCAAATTAATTTTCTCACGCTAGTCCACAGTAATGACAATAGAAATTTCAAATAACTCATTAGCATATACATAAACACCCAACTTTCCACTACATAGTATAAAACAAAGTCGTTTCCCGGTGTCTGTCCATATGTATGCTCTGATCTTTAAAACTACGCAATGAATTTTGATGCGGGTTTTTTAATAGATGGTATAAAACAAAGTCGTTTCCCGGTGTCTGTCCATATGTATGCTCTGATCTTTAAAGCTACGCAACGGATTTTGATGCGGGTTTTTTAATAGATGAAGTGATTCAAGTGGAAGGCTTATATGTATATAACAAGCATAATAGAATAAAGAAACACTGATACTTTTAGAGGTTTATAATGTGATGTCGTATATAAGCACATTTTTTGCGACTACATTGCAAAACGGGTTACCTCGTTCACAGGCAGATGGGGCAATGACAAATATGTTGTTCGTTGTCTGCTGCAGCCTAGTTCGAGGAATGATACCCCTCAGAAATTCGATTTTCAATTATCAAAAATCATGGACTTTATGTTGATGATAGACACTTCCTTGCAATGACGAGTGGCCAAACAGCCTGAAACCGGTCTGCAAGTGTGTTCCAATAATTGAAAATCTATTGCGGCAGTTGTATCGCCAACAGCATATGCAGGAATAACTGCAGTGAAAAATCATGCACTGACACCTGTCGGATATAATCCAACGCCTTTCGTGGTATTAACCAGGGGAGTAGTTGTTTTCTGATAGGTGTCAGTCCATTAACCTACTGTGTAGGGTGTTGAGACTGGCCTGAACGAATTGTTC